AATCCTAAAGTAATAATGGTATTTCTAACCACTGATATACCACAACTTTACCCTTTCAACAGCTGCTGAAAGTTATGGGACCTCGCTTCTATCGGATATTTATATAGAGATCCTCCAGCTTTAAACTGTATTACCCTTCAAGGACCTGCAGTTCGAAAAAGCGCCCCTCCGACAGCCAAACCAATCTGTTCTCTGATTGGATAGTAAAATTTGTGATTGACATGACATTGACCAATCAGATGAAAGGAGGAAAAAAAGGGTCAAAATTCGTTTTTGTAACTTACAGCGTTTCACACGTATTTTTTTTTTGGCTAAGTCCACATACAAATCTTTTTTACGCACATACAAATTCTTTTTTTCACATATAAATCCTGATTTACAAGTACAAAACCGATTTACAAGTACAAAATATTTATGACCACAATTTGAGCCTATAGGAATGCTCTGATCTTTGCAAACTCCTCAAAAAACAGAAAGTTGGAACCCACTACTGCAACACCATGACATCACAGCATGCAGACAATAAGCTCTGATCTTCAAGTTGCAGGTATAAATAAATTCACAGTGCATATGGAGCTATGAGTCTGTGTACCCAAGTAGGTGCTCTGTAAATGTGATTACTATCAAATCATAACCAAATCAAATGTCATGTTAAAGCATCCACTAATCTTTTTTTAGATAATAATAACAAATTTATGTATATAGATTTTTTTTAACATTATTACTTTATATTTGGGATAAAACCACACATTAAAGATTAAAGATAAGTATACATGTCCACACAGTCAAACCAACCCGTTAAACATACAATCCTACATTCATTCTTGCATGCACACTTTCACACATACAAGAACAAGAGCTAAAAGTAAAGAGCAGAACGATTAAGAAAATGAGTCAAAATGAGTTTTCAGCAGATGTTTAAAATTAAATTAAGCCAGCCTGTTCCAAAGTGTAGGAGCTCCAACTTCAAAAGCGTGGTCACCTCTTAAAATAAAAGCATGAAACAGATGATCAGATGATTGGAGAGGCCAAATGTTGGAATAAAATCTCAGCAGGCCTGGTATACATGCCTGCCGTGTAGGTCTTTACATGTTATTAATGAAACTTTAAAATTCTGAATTTCCCAGGCTTGTTAGGAGCCTAGCTGCTGAGTTTGGGCCTGTTTGACACAGGCTAGTTGATCATTGAGGTTTGTTTTTTGTGATGTTTCTTAAATGAAGGCAACAAGACTGGATTAGATATGAGATTCAAAATGCAAATACTGATGAAACATGATACCAAGGCTCTTAGCAGATGATATGATATTGCTGGAGTGGGAGCCGGTGTAATGACTGACCTCCTTAGAAAGATTGTCAGGGTCGAACACAAGTACCTCAGTTTTGCCAGAAATAAGTTCTTTCCAAGCATCTGAAAAGATTACTTTTCTGTGAAATGCAGGCAGTGATGTTTGTTGGGTTATATCTAACTATTTATTCTCAAGAGACAACACAGCTCAAGTTGAAGCTCCTCCTCGAGTTCCCTTTTATTCCACCAGAAAACAGTCTAGCTTGAGCTCTGACTCCTCTTCGAGATGAAAGAAACAAATCCCACAGCATTTTATAAATAAATACCACAAGCCTCACTCAGTATGATGTGAGGTTACCGTATGTCCATGCTGGGCTGCACATTTCCTTGTTTTTCCACTTGTCTGATCAATTCAAACCAAAAAGTCATCAATCACTCCCAACTCAATTCTTTGATGTCAGGGTGCCCATCTCTGAAACATCTCTGAAGCATCTCACTCAAGGGTTTTTTTTTTGTGTGTGTGTAATTTTTCAGACAACCCTTTGATCCCATTACGTACAGTTTTGATCCTCTTGGTTATTGCTTGTTTATTCCACAGTTGTTCCTGAACGTGCACCAGTGGAAAAAATTATAGTCCAAACTTAAGTGCTCAGTTTTCTGGTTATATATCTATAACCTATATAGGTTACCTGCTCTGATTACCTATATAGGTATAGGTTATAGATTATAGAAGACGATGCTTGTAGCATCCAGGGCTTTATTGAGCAGCTGCTGACCAGGCCAGTAACTGTGAAGTTGAGCTGGGTCAGTGGGGAAAAGATGAGAAAACACAGGCCAGATTGAAAGTGGTTTGAGGGGGGAGAAACTATGCTGCAGGTCAGGACTCCAAAGAGAAAACGGCAGATTTAAGAGTGACAGACTCCATAAAAAAGTAATTTAATTTAAGAGATTTGACAACTGACTTCACTAAACCGTCCTGACTCCAAAGAGAAAACAATACCACCGTAGAGCACCTTATATCACACTAGACTACTCATAAAATGGCTGAGTCAAGTGCAATATTGTACTGCACCTTCCTCCAAGTGCAGACTCAGAAGGTAAAACAATATATTTAGAGGCGACAGCAACATCCTGCTGCACCTTACACTGCTTGAATTCCAAACTTCTAAGTGAGAAGAGATTTAAGAGCAACAACATCTCAGTGCACCTCCCTGAAAGTCCAGGCTCCACCATGAAAACAGCTAAGTAAAGAGCAACAGCAGCATACTTAACTTTACAGCAAGTTCAGACTCCACAGATGAAACGGCAACAGCTTACTACATGTTTAAGTGTAAAGAGAAAACTGCCAAAATCTTCCCAAACTTCACTCCAAACTCCACAGACAAACCACATAAATTAAGGGGAACAGCACATTCTTGCAAATTGAGACTTCACAAATGAAACATCACATTTAATAGCACTCAAACTTTGCTGTCAAGACTCCTTAGAGAAAACAACTGGTTTTATAGTGACATTTTTGTTTTCTCTCTTTACAGGTGAAGACAGGTCTGTATTCAAGTCTATGGGCAGGCTGATTGTTCACTTAAAACTTGAAAGTCCCTTTAGTGCAAAAGAAGAACATCTGCATTCAGGGGAGAGAAAAAAGTCTGGCACAGCAGGATCACCTCCCAATCATCCTGGTGTTCTTCCCTGGTTTTCATCGCTCCAGTGGGTAGAAAATCAGGATTCTTTGGTTTGTGAACATGGGGCTGACATCAATCAATCAATCCCAGACAGTAATTACAGTGATTGCCCCGAAACCGAAAGGTCACTGGTTTGATCCCAGCTCTGTCAACAGTCCTGTGCGCACAAATCTGAGACAAGACCTCTGACGATCCAGATAAGAGCCTTACAAGAGCAGATTTATTACGTAATGCGATCAGAAATGCTTTTTCCATGTTTTATGTTTATTTTAGCGTTCATCTTTTCAACGCCAATCATCTTCTCCCTGCAAAAAAATAAAAATAAAAAATCTAGCTACAGAGTCCTCTTCACCAGATCGCATTATTTATGTCCCTGTAAGGGGAAGTTTGGAAGCACACCACCATCAGATGATGCCTTCATAACAAAACATTAATCGTTTTATGAAATTACCTGGAAAATTAAGCTGTTAATCATGCCGAATTTCTGTTGCCCATTGCTGCAGTCGAGGAATGCATTGCAAGCTGCCATTTAATTTTGCCTGTGAAACAGCTTTGGATAAAAATGATGATGACATGAGATTTTCACACAGGCTAAATTTGTTGGGAAAAGACGAAAATTGTATGAAATTATACACAGACCCGGTCTGACAGGCAACAGAATACGATGCAATAAGTATTTCGATTTTTGTTGAGGGGAAATAAAAGGAAAGCGAAGATTAGACATTAAAAGAAATTAAAAGAAATACTTCTGTTGTTTTGGCCATTCATTCTCCAATGAAACATGTTAATTAAAATAATTATAAAAATAATAAATTATTAATAATGATAATAAATATTCTTACCCAAACATGAGTTAACGAACCCATACCAAACGCACCCAGCGCGTCCGATCAACCACCGCCCCTGGGTGCTGGCTGCGAAGCTGAACGGAGTCCCCAGCACACTAACCAGCAGGTCGCTCGCGGAGATGCTCACCAGCATGAGATTCATGGGCGTGCGCAGAACCCGGTACCGGCAGAACAGCGTGAGCACCAGGAAGTTACTGAGAAACCCGAAAGTGCCGATGAAGCCCAGGCACACCGCCACCACAAGGTGCCCAGTCGGGCTCAGGGACGGAGGGGGCAGGGAACCGGATACCTCCTCGTACGCGTCCGTCGCCTCCGTGCTGCGGGCTACTCCCTCGGGACAGTGCGCGCAGCTCAGGCTCAAGTTGGAAATGATCATACCGGGATGAGCCGCGAAGTTTGCACCAGTCGGAAGTTTGTACCTCGGGAGGGAACCATCCGGTCTCGGTGCTTTTCACTCATCTGGAGAGGCGAAGGCGTACGGATGTCTCCACAGTCTGCGCGCATGAAGCACGTTTAACGAGGCAAGGGGTAACTAATTTCTGTAAGTAATCTACTTTCTAGTCTGAGAGAGACACTTTGCGAATGAATGAGGAGAAGAGATGCTCTGTCCCGTTAGACCCGCCCCTCCACCGTGCGCTCCGGAGAGGTGCGCTCCTTTTCAGGCGCGGCCACTTAAGTGCGCCTGAGCTTTTATCACCCACAGCGCCCTTTAACGGGCTGGGAGACAAACACCTCAAACAAGAAGCGGTGGGTGGTGTTTGTATGTGTGGATGTGTAGTGGATGTGTGTAACAGGCTCGAGCCACGGTCACACCTGCACCATCAATCAACGCGTTACACAACTACATGTAGGGAAACAAACTTAAAAGCTGCGTGACGGGTGAAGGCATTCAGATTTGTCCTGATTTTTCTAACATATATGTGTAATTAAAAGGAATCACTCAGTTCTCATGTCAGGTTTGAAACAGAAAATCCATAAGCTGTCTGACAAGAGATCAGTATGTTACAGCCTGAAGGGGGGAGGGCTCCATCCTCTTTTGAGCTCTCTGATCTGCTGGCTGATCACAGACTGATAACCGTGTTTGTATATTTATAATTTACATAGGGACCTATTGGTCACAGCTTGATTTCAAGGTCCAAAAGCTATGCTATGCTTTTGATAGCTAATTATCAAAAGCATTTTGATAGCTAACTATCAAAAGCATGGGAATCAATGATACTGTCTAAAGCTCACAGCCTTCCTTTCTGTCAGTCAAGGGTTTCCTGTTGCTCTTGCTGTGCTTATTCTTAGATGCTGCGTCTGCTGTCTTTCCCTCTCCACTTTTGACAAACACACAAAGAGACATGGCATCATTTCAAAGGGAGTTCTTAGTAAGAGCGAACAGGAAAATGTGGCATATATGACTATTAGCAACTCGTGGTTAGAAAAATACACTAACAAGCACTTTGTTGCTATACTAATACTGGGTAGAACCTCCCTCTGCTCTCAGTCGGTCTCTGTGTCTTTGTGGATTCCCCAAAGATTTTGGGAATAAATCTTTGAGGTTCTGCTCCATGTTGACATGATTCCGTCATATACTTTCTGCAGATTTTTCAGATGTCAATCTCCCATTCGTGCGCATCTCAAAGCTGTCTGCCAGATCCAGATCTGGATTGAAGGGAGGCTGCTGAAGTCTGAGGAACTTTCGTTTTGTTTTTTTTTAGATATTCCATCATCCTGCAGGAAGTAGCCATAAAAAAGGTGGTAAGTGAGTTACTCAGGAGCTCAAAGTGTGCCAAGAAAGCTGAATTCACTGTTCTGGTCTAATTTATGTTTTTTCCTTTGGCTTTTTCTTATTTTGCTTTTGTGGTTTGGTTTTTCCGCCCATTTTCCTGTGACTTATACTTTTCTCTCTGGCACCCCCTGTTTGTCTTTGAGTTTCTTTCAGTCTACCTCATCCTCATTAGTTTTATCTGTGTTCAAATATCTGTGCATTTATCATCCCCCTCTTCTGCTTGTTTTTTTTCTTTCTTGGTCTTGTGTTTTATTAGTTCCCCCCTTCTGAGGTTTGTGTTTTCCAAGACTTTTTATGCAAGTTCAGTGAGCTTTGTATTAACCCATAAGAACACAGACCCATTTCTCCTCCAAGGTTGTGAGTGAAATGTAGACATGCCAATAGGGTCTGAAAATGGCTACCTGCCACAATGGGACAGCTTGTTTCATTTTCCCAGTACGGATGGTTTCTTGGCATTTGGCACAGACCCATGCACAGACAGAGGCCAGTCAACATGTTGCTGTGACTTTCAGAGATTTGTACACTGTACAAACGTGTCTGTTTCTTCAGTAACACAAAGATGTCTGCTGTTTTGACCTTTGTGAACACTCCAGGGGAGTATGGACATCATCTGAAGGTGTGAAACTCAATTCTTTGAATTTAAGCACTCAGGGGTCTCAGAAGAGGAATTTCTCCAAGAAAATAGTTTTCTGTATATTTTTTTCTTGGAATCTTAAGTTTTGCTGCCCAGGATACTTCATCACAATCGATAAACACTATCCATCAATTATCTCCCGCCTATCAAATTCAAGGTAGCAGGGTGGACTTGAGCAGGTCGCCAAACTATCGCAAGACTAACACAACAGTTCACACTCACCAATTTAAAATAGCTAACTAATCTAACTCGACACGCCTTTGGAACTTAAGTCAGGAGTTCGACTGTATCCAGTAAGGCTAGACCCCCATGCTAACTTTAGATATGAGGGAGAGAGAGAAAACTGAAGCCGTATAGACTCAGACGTCGCCTGGATTAATATGGTCCGTGTTAGGTGTTGAGGAACCAGGACACAGTGATGAGAAGTGGGCTCCTGGCACAAGTGGGCAAGAGATGAGAACAGGGCGCTGTTGGAATGCTACTATGCAATTATCCCCAGCGAAAGGAGTTACATGAATAGGATACGGAGAAGGAGTACGGAAAAGGAATACGGGAAGCTCGAGAAGTACCAAGGGCTCAGAGAAGAGCTCCCTTTAAGGCTGGGAAATATCGTGATAATAGTTGCCGACTAGTCTAGAAACTCATCATATCTCAAAAATAAACCTTTTTTATTAAATGAACCTTTTTGTTTAACTGACTCTGAGTTCCTGATCAGAGTTTGTCACTTGTGTACATGATCTCTGACATGAATCCATGTCCAGCAGCTTTGTGATGATGGAACAACAGCCAATGAAGGAATCAAGATCTACACATGTATTCTGTGTGTGTGTGTGTGTGTGTGTGTGTGTGTGTGTGTGTGTGTGTGTGTGTGTGTGTGGTTTGATTGTTGCTTTGGGTTCATAGTTGATCACCTGTGCACACTGAGACACAGCAATCTGTTTCTTTTGACCTCTGTGTGTTTGTACCTCTGATTCTAATAAGGTGAGTCTGAGGAGAGATTGGATTTGGCTGTATGCTACCAACCCAGTCAGAGGTTAGAAAAGGGTGCTTGTACTTTCTGTACTGCTTTTTCGATTTGGAAAACAATTTTTTTACTTTTGACTGGGTGGGCAGACGACAGGTCATTTGGCTGAGCCCACCCCTACCTGTAATTAGATACCAGAAAAGGATGTTTGATACTGATACTGGTATATTGGCATCACGTACCCCAGAATGACGAGAGTGGCATAAATAGACCAGAATAGGGGCGCACTACTCAAAGACACCTGGCTTCAATTAAGCCACTGAAGCAGAGGCAATTATGTGAA